ATCGAAGCGAGACGACCGTTGAGCGGGCAATGATAGAAACCCTATTTCACACCTACAGACAATTATTCACAGGTATCTATCATTGCACTTTCAACGGTTGTCTCGCTTAGATGGCATGGCTACCTTTCAAGATGGCGCAAGGAACCGTGAAGGAGACTATTACATTTTCTATCAATTCTGATCTGTACTCGTCCAAGTTTGAGCTTTCACTGGAGTTAGTAACACAAACAAAGAGTTTTTTCCCTTTCTTGGAACCCAGTTAAAGAAAATATATGCTCCACCATCCTAAAGTTTCCTGCTTCCCCTAGTTACGAATGAATAGGTCGTCGACAAAAATGTCGGAAAATGTTTTGTTTTTTTTTAAAAAAAGAAAAACGACGACATTTATTATTTAGAATAATTTTTTGAATGTTTTCTTTTTGCCATTGAATAATAGTTAACCCCCTTCCCTCCTAAATCCGCATCTGGTAACCTTAATTCCAGACGTGCCAAGGTTCAGCGCTTTCCTCCCAAAACTCTCCATTTATGACACTACCCTTTGTTTTGCCACCCGACAATAAAAATGCTTGAACGAACAAACAAGATAAATTATTCACGAATCTCAATGCATATCTCTTTTTTGTGCATTCCTTCTTGATTAAAACGTTTGCGCTGATTAGTCAAATATCTGACAAAACAGACCGCGATTTGAGCGGCAATGTCCATCAGGCGAAGTGTTAGCGCYGGACCCAGACCCCGTCTGGAACTCAGTCTAGGATGGCTGCAAAATAAAATTAATTTTTAGTGCTGGACATTTTTTCCATGATTTCTTGTCACTTTTGTCGTTTTGTCAATTCGTCTCTTATAGTCACAATATTGGTTCTTGATTTTCTATTTTAAACACAAAGCTAAGATTCACGATTTCTTGAAATCGCCCAAACTGCATGATTCTTTCATTATGTCTGCGGATTCCGCTTCCGCCTCTCAATCTTGAAGCTCCGATCCGAAAAGACTTGATAGAATATATAATGTCAGGAACTTGAAGGAGGTAAATGTACTTTTAAGCGGCAAATATATAAATAATGTTTTCTGTTTTAAGCCACCCAATTTTGGTAAGTAGGTCTCCAAAGGTCGACCTCTTAACATCATATGATGAATTTTCTCCGGTCAATCAAAACTAGGAACCTCACTTAATTCCCTTCGATATGTCCTCCCTCAAAACCGAACGATCTCCAAACATACATTGTAGCCTTGAAGTTTCTGTTGAATTATTGAAATTCGTATTACGAAAGGATCTTTAAAGAAATTCAAAGGCGAAGTTCACTCAGAGTTTTGTTTGCAAAAGAGTCAGAGAGAAGGTTCGATAGGGACTYGAATCATGACCTCTCCCTAGCAAAAACCGCCCATGGTGACCCGACTGAGCTGACTTGKTATGGCTAGCACTATGTTGAATWAAATAGTTAGGGAAAAATACCAAACATTTCTATGAGAAATAAAGGTCCTATCAAGGCCTGCAWTCACAAATTCAAAGATCGAAACCAAAWTTTACACATCAAAGTTGTTTCTTTYCCCTTTTGCACAAGACATGCAGCCAAACATAAAAGCGTTTACTAGCCGTRAAMGGAAAAATCTATTAGTTACTCATTCATCAAGTGACTCAAAATACATTTTTCCTGTACAGTTTATTCCTTCTTCCTTCAGTCATTCACTTCATCTTTTTAGCCGGAGGGAAAGGTTATCCAGTTRTCCATGCTCACTCTTTTGATARCATCGACCGACAAACAGTCCCTTCGGGCTGATTAGAAAATGATAAACCATTTATAAAAAGAAATCTTTCGAACATTCTTTCCTTTCAAGAGAAACATTTTTGTCATTATCTAATTGGCATCCTGTAAATCATGGTTACATTGCACAAARGGAGATCTTCTATGATTACTTGTTGTTTTGGCATCGCAGTGTTTTCAAAAACCTATTTTCAGMCGTAGAATTAATTTTACATGAGAAGACGCGAGCGCGGAGTCTTTGCATCTTTTTTAATGGTTTTGACTCCAAACTTTAGCACATGGAGTGGAATATTTTGAGTGTCGGGAGATAAGGTGGAATGTACATAGAGGGATAGGAAAGGTTTGGAACTATGGGAATAGTGGGGTAGGGAAGGTATTCTAGGATGGAATTCAAAGGTGAAAATATACCGAATGGAGGAAGCTGTTGGGAGGGAAGGTTGAAGGTATTAAGAAAGTCTGGAAAGTATAGGGAGGGCTTGCAAAAGATTTCGACAGGAAAGTTGAATGGTATTGGGAGAGATAGGGAGTGATAGGGAAGTTAAAAAGCATGAGGAGGTTTGGAAAGGTGGAATTTGGAAGCTCTCTGGACGGAAGGTACGGAAGATGGGAGTTGTTAGGAAAATATTAGAGAAGCTGKCAACCACCAGTGAAAGGWAGTCGGCGGGAGGGTATATCATTTTTAGTCAAAGCAATTATGCATAGAAAACTTTCTGAAAGTAGCAATTTTAAGTGCTGTACTTATATTACGTTTTTTTTAACCTATTCTTGGTGTGCCAACACATGATTAGGAATCTCCTGGGAAATAAAGAACAAAGCTATCGCCGCCATGTTGGATGAATKAACAAGAGAAACTAATGAGGAATGCTTTGTGATTTTCATCCAACATGGCTGTTATGACGTAACGTGCACTCCAAGATTACTGTTGAAGAAATTATCCAACCACCGAAGTTTGTTGCTTTGCTATATTTTTTTTAGTGAGTGAGACCAACGACATTTTATATACACCTTCCTATATATTATGGCATTCTCCAATCAAATCAAAACAATAAAGATATTGCACAATGATAATATTTTATTTGTATCGTTTTTCTTTCTGTGAATTCATTCCTCTCGATTTCTTGAGCTTTAGTAGATTTAAGGAGAATTTACAAGGAACGTTTATAACATTGAATTGTGTTACATTCGATGAGCTCTTTGTCCGTAGTATTAATCTAAACAATTATAAATCATTTAATATTAAACAAAATATAATGTATCTTCTATTCTTGTATTGGATATCTTTCAGTGTATTTGGGCCTGTGTAAATGGACTTTAGTGCCATGGCAATACTTTCTTGCTGTCCGACATAAACTGTCCAACGATACACGGTTCTGAAAACAAAACAATATTGATAATAACATTAATACTTGTCTCTTAGTTGTTTGACTAATTTAGTCAGTGAAATCAGAGTTGGTTGACTTGTCTGTCTGTCGAACGCTAATGGCGGTTATTTTATTWTTGTGAAATGTTGGTTCCACTGGCATTTCCGAAATGCAAGGAAAAACTGTGGGCGAGGGTAAAAATTATCCAYTGTTGATATTTTTCGAGTTTTTAAAAACGCTTGCCGATCTGAATTTATTCGACAGCTATACTGAATTTTAGTATGCGCTGCTTTCCTGTCATCAGACCCGYATMTTGGTTTCTTCAAACTGCATCGTGTTTGTAACTAGGCACCAGCGATTTTTTGAATTTCAGAACGGCTAATTTGAATTCTTCATCGCAGAAGTTTTCCTGGTGAATTGCTAGTGTAATCGACATTTGGATTCCCCAGCAACAGTCTGCGAGGGATGGTATACGAATAGTTATAACAAAGTAGGCTCTTGTTTAGGGTGATATGACTGATTTATTGGTTGGATGGGCTGACTGTCGAATCCTCTTCGAGTTAATACTACCGTCTTTTGATCCAAAAGGATCCCTCCGCGACACAGGAAGCCCAACATAGCTTCGTAATAAATACGGATTTTTCTCAAAACATAAATATTTTCTTTAAAGGTCATGGCTAAGGCCAGTGGCCATCTTGACTAATGCGTTTCCTGTTCAAATCCATGAAAAATGTTCTGCCATGATCCATGTCCGGATTTTTCCTATGATGTTTATGTTTTTTTATATGATCTGACGTCATTTTGGCTGCTCGAAGTGCATCGTGGTATTGATAAAATACCACAATTGTGGATGTTTTATGAAAACTACGGAAATGATATATGATAAATGAATTTTTATGCGAAATAAACGCAACGCATTGGAACTGCCGACAATAGTTTATGAATGATATGAATTTACTTTATTCCATGCATTTCTTCCTTCCAAAACTCARCGCAAAAGCCCAAGTTGTATGATTAAAAGTCTTGATGAAATGCAAAGCGAAATAAAGCTGCCCATACAGTTGAAATATTACAATCAACGTTATCTAGTTTTACTATTGTTTTCAAAACTAGAAATTTGTTATCAGACAAATTTTAAAAGCCTTAAGCATCAGTTGCGAAATACTTTTAAATGGTTACTTGTCAAATTGATCTGATTTATGTCGCTTGCCAGCTGTCTGTGTGAAACAATTCGTCATTGTAGTATAAGTGGTCATATGTTTGTCTCGGGGGCACAACGCCATGATTTCATTTCCGAGCAAAGAAATACACTTTAAGATTGATAGTTRCCTTAACAATCTGTTGATAAACCGAGCCGAATTTAATTGAATGATGCAGTCAAGTCATTTTGTAATAAAAGAGATGGAAATATTGGCTTTACTTCTATCTGGTGTCGGGCTAAGCTGGTTCATTTTCTCAGTTTGGTTATTTGTYGAGGCAAGCGACAATTATGTAGTCGATCAAATGTTATCCTTGCATGCTAGTCAGACCTAATGTACTACATTATTGTACATGCATATTCACTTAAATTTACTTTTTTCCTTGCTTTCATGGATATTATATGATAAACAGAATATTACATGGTCGCTTTGAGATATGGATTTCATCTTACGTCGTGTTGAAAATCTTTTGAATCCGTATCTCCGCGCGCCCAAGTGATATTCTCTATTAATGAACTTCGAAAAGGTAAAAATAGAGAAACTTAGCCTGAAGGTAAAAACATTGGTCAGTACTCTTTATAACAGCCTAGTTGCGAAACAATTAAACTATGAAAAAGAAAGAAAAAGAAAGGAAAGAGAGAGGGAGAAATGAAAATRCAAGACGAAAAAAAATATTTGACAGAATGGCGAGGGTTCACAAAAGCAAACACTGAAAAGAAGTAAGTTTGGATTTATAATGAATGAGACGGCGGCCATCTTGAATGGCTAAGTGACATTATTTATTTGAATGACATTATAATGGAATATTATGTTTTTTTGGTTGCAGATTAAGTTTACTGCAGAGTTTTTTCGTAAACTTTTAAACTAACATATTTTTTTCTGTTAAATCTGATTCTTATTCGATTCTATTATGATACCATTCTTCTATATGCCATAAAACACGGGATTTACAAATGAGTTTTTACTTTGAATTAGTCWTTCTGTTCTTTTTCTTTTAACAGCTTTCGCTGTTTTTCTCATTTCGACCTTGACTGCCTAACTTGGTTTTTCATTTTTTGAATGATATTCCTGGATTCGAATTGTCCATGGTAGCAATATAACACCTTAATAACAAAGTCGTTTAGTATTTAACGAGTTTTCAACCCAATTAAACCAAATTATTGAACTGTTATCACTTTGAAAATGTTAGCTTCATTGTCATGRCAACTGACTGGACCGAAGTGATGCTTGAGATGGCAATATTTTATGTTTCCATTCACCGTTAAAAAAACTTGGAATTGTTGTGAAAACACTCGAACAGGTTATGAAACACGAGCAGAAAACCTCTTTAGTGTTCAATCCCATATGTTTTTTAACAGCGAAAGCTTACAAGGAAAATTCTTTTAATACTTAAATAAAGGTCATGGCTAGTTTCCAATGAAATGATAAAATTCTACACTTAAATTGTATATCATGAGCATAATATATAAAGAGAGCTGAAAAATACTAAAAACACTGTGRTGAGCCGAAGAAAAAAATAGTATAAGCAAAAAAAAGTATATACTAAAGTATATACTAAATAGAGACGTAAARCATCATCCATCAGACAATTCACAAATTTCATACAAACTTCAAAGGTTTTGGACACTTGATATTTTCAAATTAAGTTTCTCTGTTTAYATTTGACCTATGGCCAACCGACTTTATCAAGACACGTTTTGAAGTAACAAGTAATATMTCTTCCTAATAATTAATGAACGCGTATTGGCTGACTTTGATTATAATAAAGTGCATGAGTCGACCATGTGGTTTATATTTCTTAAATATTTATTTGGTTTTTGATTTCGACACACCCTCCAAGTCCTGGCAGCCTAACAAGATGATGTTACAGTTGTATAAAAACATAAATTTTAACACCGTAAAAAAGTAGGGGAAACAACTTTAGAAACATTTTTTTTTAGTCACATTAGATTACCGCTAGTTTCCACCATTTTAACAAGATAATGATTTCAATATAACCGGCTGGAAATAACCGAATGTTTAGACGAAGAAACTATCAATGTAAAGATTTATGTTGAATGATACTTTATCGTCTTCAGTTTAAAAGACGCATAGAAAAACACCAGTTAATGAAGCAATATGTCTTATATTTAGTAAACGTTAATAMTCAAGATTGCAAGATCATCGTAATATTGCATTGACATTCCAGTTAATGTTAATTTTCCTACAATATGTAGTTGTTGCCATCCCGATGCTGGCTTTGAGATAAAGAAGATCCCACCGGAAAAGGAGAAAGAACGGTTAAAGCTTTTTATAGCTGTAAAACTGTAATGATTTAGCTCACCTTTAGCTCTCGTTTTTTGCCACCTGGTTTCACTCTGTCACCCAGAGGAGTACCATAAGCCCAAATATATTGAAATATACCGCATAGTAGAAATAGAGCCAGRATGATTCGGATTAACATGATCACTGATGCAATCTCACAACTACTCGGCCAGTTTTGATGGCTTCCCCTTGTTATATACCAGCATATTGAGAGGTGGGTTGCCAATCCTTTCATTGAATCATGGTGTGAGGGTTAATTACATTCAACAGAAAAAACAATTGATTTTAGCTGCGTATTTGCGTGTAAAACGAAGTAATTGCCATCCGTTGAGGAGTTCCCGCTTTCTTTCTTTTAAATGGTCCGCTCTTTCATTGGAATTAAAACATCCGGGCCATGTGTTTATATTATTTGAAAGGATATCTAGAGCGTTATTTAGAACTCAATATGGTCTTTTAAAGACATTTCRCTGGAGAAGCTATAGTTCAGTTTAGTAAATAGTTGAAGCAATGTTACAAAATAAACCTCCTTTGAAACTGTACGCCGCCCATCAGTGAGGTATGACTGGTTGAATGATCTCAACGATAATTCACTTCCGTTTGGCTCTCCCGTAARGCAGGCATGAGACTGTTTACACTACAAGGTGCATGGAATAATGAATGCAGTTAATGAGATGTGTTGAATATAAGCTGACTGTTTAATATGTAACTTATTTGTTAAACAGTTAAACAGGAGCATTAGACTAATATTATATATATAGTAAGACCGACGGCAGTAGCAGGGGACTCTCTAACAGCTATAGTCAGTAGCAGATGAAGCATTTAATGTGAAACTATATCATGTTGTAGTGACTTCAGTATGCACCACAGTTAATAACAAGAAGTATTATTAACCTTTTTGCTCTTTTTTTTTCGACCCTTTTTTCGTTTTATTCATGACACATGGACGGAATGATAGAAATTGCCTTATTGACCTCGTGGCGAGGTTATCCGGATTTTGTAGACGAATTCAATTGTATCTAGGCATAAATCATGGGGTGGATAGAACTGTCCATTTTTGACTCAGTTTTMCTTGCTTTATATTCTTTTCTTTCCTTTTCAGTTTTTCCGCGTCTTCTTTTCGTCAATCTTCATAGATCTCCTTCTCTCTTTTTTGGCCTTGCTTCTTTCTCTTACCCTTCATATCTTTCTTTTCTGGTTCATTCTTCCCCCCTCCCCAATGGGCGATTTCTTTGTCTTCCCATCTTATCTTCTGTATGTTTCTTCTTCTTTTTCTCACAYTTCGCATTATCATTTTAAATCTTGTGTCAAAAATCAACAGTAAATCTGTACTTGCTACCTTTTTTTATTTAGCACAMCGATTTATACAAATTCAGAGTAAAAGCATCTACCACCGACTGGTTTGGCATTAGTTTTTACAATACTACCACTTGAACAGACTCTAGAAATAGCACGTTAACCCCTGGAGCATTCGTAATTACATGTAGACTTCTCTGTATACTTAATTTATCAAAGTTTAATATCCCAATAGTGTGTACTGCATGACAACAAAAGCACCATAGCTTAAATAAAATACATTTTAAGAACTGAATTTAAAAATTCCCAGAAAAATTGCGTGATATTTTTTCTTGTCTATTTAGACCACCTCAAGATCTCAAGATTCAATGATAATGGAACAGAAAAACATTGTTACAAACTAAAATAGCAACTTCAAGTTCACAAAGATATAAATAACATTCGTTTATGGTGTGGGTTAGTGCGTTGGCGTACAACAATGAAATCTTGMTGTAACATTTAAGAAAGCAATATCAGTATATAATGACGTATTTATCTGCACAAAACAAGCATACATGCTGACATTATTATGATATATGAAAATTCAGGCGAYTTCAAACGTCACTTTCTAAATTTGTGTTTTTTCGAATTATTGTTCTATAGCATACAGGCAGAAATTACCATCTTTTTGACTCATTTTCCATGTATATATAAAATAAAAGGAGACAATGGGATATCATCGCCAATATTTTTTTTCAAGAAGGGCTAGTGCAAAGCAACTTGAAAGATATACTGTAAATAGTATCATATAACTTCTGATGTATTTATATCTACTTGGAATATGAGTCAAAATGATCATAGTTTCTGCATATTGCTGTATATATATTTATTTGATTATTAAGTTATTAGTGTTGGCATGATTAAATACCATCAGTAGAGCAAGCGGGTTTGGACCCTTCTCATCATAACACAGAAGCTTTCCGCGGAATCTCGTTTGTATACAAACGCAAATTTATACTWCAACATTTGTTTTTGTCAATTTAGCTCTGCACATGTCAGATGTGGCGTTTATAAGCAATGTATTTTTAGTACCTTACTGATATAAACTCCGTGACGGAGTAAGTAACAGTGATATATCTTATTTGGCATACGACATTTAAACAGAGTTATTTTTAATAAACTATTCAATATCAGTAATTTGCACGCGTTATTTACGATGTCCACCTAAATGGTCGATTAATTCCGGTATTCCAGAGTGCAACGGAACAACCTCTTCACCATATGTGTCATTAGCAGCCAGATTTATTATATTGAACTSAGTTTTTAAATTGCTCCCCTTTAGATATTGTCCACATTAGGGAACCGTTTGCTCGTTTTACTAAAAACCCTTCAATTCCTGTTTTTTGTTTGAAAATTGGTCGGTTTGCATACATCACTGTGAATGCTGTCCACATTGGGTTAGAGCTTGCTACGGTTGACTAAAACCTCATCAGTTCCTGTTGTTTATTGTTGTAAAATGTGTAATTTCAAAATTAATTGTATGAGGAAGTAGCTGATCCCATTAAAGAGTGCTCAATATACATAAAGTGTAGAGCTAGTTATATATATAATATCAAAGAGGCAAGATTTTGCTGTAACTCCGAGTTTCGTGCTACGCACTCATCAGACAGTATTTAATCAAAATTATATMACATTAGGTCATCCCTCGGTAGGCTGAATGAGAACGTTTAACTGAATTCTTTGTTAATTTCCGATGTATTATTTTTTTGCTCAGTTTTTGGCTATTGTTTATACTGTGGCGAATCCTCACGTTATTAATTACAGCGGCTGCTGAGTCAAGAAAAATATCTATCAGTGCAGATAATGAGTTATCTCTTGTTCAGATGAATACTGCTTCAGTTTCTTTCAGTTCCATTCAGTTAATTTCTTCTTTTAATCATTCATGTCATAATTTCAATACCTATATTCAGTTGAAGCCTAAAAAGTTGATGACTAGCCGTTCTAATCGCCCCCTGAATACATCCTTATGTTGTTATTGACAATTTATCATAACCTGAAGGTTGTGTTTTGTCACCATAGAAAGAGAGAACCATACCCTGTGAAGTAATTTAACGCAAAGACAGACCCAAGGAGTGATCTGGTCGTTAGTTGAATTTGGATAATATCCGTGCGCTGTAGTTGGTTTGAATACACACATGTACTATTACAGCTAATTGAATAACGTTGCCCGATCGGAAGAAGGTGATRTAATCAAAGTCACTCCGAAGACGATTCATAAAGTACTCAGAAATTCAAACAGAGTTTATATAAACATGTTATATTAGAAAACTCGAGGAGAAGGTTATTTTATTCAAAGACAGGCAATCTTTTGACTTTGAAACACAGACTGTTATACTCGAAAGGTTTGTTTTCCCGTACTCATGAACTTCTGTTTTTTTTTAGCGTTCTGAATGGTGTAACACTTTGGAACCCGACTACGTTTTTTTTTTAAATTAGGTCCCCATAACGCCATGATGTATAAATACAAACCCAAGCTGTAACAAAACCTGCTGTTGAACACAAGTGGTAGTAAAACAATTGATCAACAGGAATCGTGATAATTTGCAAACTTGGTACGTGCATGGAATTTAATTTTCTCTTCCTATTTTTTGTTTGACTTTTGACCAAACCTATCGACTCCCACTTTAATAAGTATTCATCAGCGGTTAACGTTAAGTCCGTTTACGGATGTCGATTTGACTCATTACGAATCTTACTGGCTGCAAAAGAACGCATTCTACAAAGGAATTACARAGAAAACTCTTTCATCGCAACATCATCAAGTTTTTTGGTGTCGATTTTGTGTACACTATTGCTGCAATATCGGGAGAACTTTCAGACGATCAATTTCATTTGTGCAATTTGATAACCTTTATCAGTACAAGATAAATAAATATAGCTGAGCATATTATACTTTCTAGAAGAAAAACTCAAAATTTTCCCAACGTATTTCAAAACTTCTAGGGCGGCGTTACAAATCCTTTGGCTGTAGATGAAAAACAAAACTATTACTTGGGATTTGGTAAATTTACAGGTTTTAAAACCATGATTTTTGTTAAGTAGAAAATCAGTATTAAATCAGTTAYACACAAATTCTATTGTGTTTGGTCGTTTAGCGAGCATGTATAGTGAACCATCAAATTGTTAGTGTAAGACAAAAAAAAAATATAACGGCATATTTAGTTCTCAAAAAGTTCAAGACACTCTACATTGTTTGATAAAAGTGACTATTAGAATTTTTKCTCGGGGCCCGAATGGCCAAAGAGCTTAAGATTGCAAATAGCCTTTCTGAAGTTCAGAAATAACAACGAACGGAATCTAACGCACGAGCAAAGATCGAAGTTCTAGCGATCAGACCATCTATTACTTTCCGTCCAATCTTCGGTGTATCGGAAATTCTCGAGATACCTTCGGCCAGAATATTTTATAAGAAATGTTTGAGTTTGGCTGTTCGGGTTGTACATTCCGACTACCGTCGGATCGAATGAGTCAGCCTGCTTACATAAAGTACTAACCGATCGAACTTGGTGGAKGATGGATCTAGAATGAGAGTACTAAATTTTACTTATTACTTCATTTAGCATTCAGTAGAAGAGTGATTTAGCTAAATTTCTATTAGATATTCAAATAAGACACTGCTTTGAGCACATTGAAAAACTGAATAAGTTAATAAACTTGCAGCTTATTACAGCGCCGTCTCCAGACAAACAGCCGCCAATGTCGCKCAAGCAGCTGAATGAGACTCATTCAGAACGACCAAATCCGCTTCAAATTATTATTTGACCTAGTCAAACATCCAGTAACCTTAAAGTGCAAMTGAGCACTACTAGAAAGTCATTTCATTCGAAAGAGAACATGCTGCTAAGCACTTCTGAAAAGGAAAAAACCCAAAAAAACATTTAGAAATATTTGAAAATCAGAAATGCAAATTAAGTGACGTCTACTAAGGTATSATTTAATATGCAAAATCACGAAAAAAATACATTACTCTTTTTTTATATTGGAGATGACATTTCCAGTTGTTGAATATCACTGTTCTTGATGATTTCACCATTTCAACCGAACACAAGATATCGCAAACAATGAAAAACCTCCAGCCCAATTCCTTGGTTGACTTCACGTAATTTGCATTTCCGATTTTCAAATATTTCTAAATCAGAAGATATAAATTTGAAACGGTTTTTTCCCTTTGCAGAAGTGCTTAGCAGTATGTTCTCTTTCGAATGAAATGACTTTCTAGTAGGGTTCAGTTGCACTTTAATGAGCTGTTCCGGTTTTCCTTTAAGAGGCCCCTTTCTGCAATGAGGAGATGCACGTGTACACTGTACTTCATCACACTTCTTTACTGGGCGGCCCTTTACTATAGTTGTTAGGGTTTTCCTTTAAAAGACACCTTTCTWCAATGGGTTGAAGCACGTATACACTACTTCATCATCCTTCTTCACTATAGATGTTGGGGTTTTCATGAGCAGATGCACGCGTACACTCTACTTCATAACCCTTCTTTTCTAGTCGTTGTGGTTCTCCTTTTAGAGGACCTYTTTCTGCAATGAGGTGACGCACGTGTGCATCKTACCTCGTCACCCTTCTTTACTAGTGGTTGTGGTTTTCCTTTTATAGAGGTTCTTGAAATCACTTAAGTCACAAGCAAGCAGMTGACACGAAAGACTMAATGTATTAGTTTAGTGACAAATAAGCCACCTTTGAACACCTAGCACAATGTTCCGCCTATTTTATTCTTATTAAGATTTTTATTTTCTTAGGGTATGATACAACTATAGGATTTTTACTCTTCCTGTTATCCTTCACGAGTTTTGTAAGGTTTCTTGTGATTGGATGAATAAAACAATGCTCATTGTTTCCTTGTTCTTAAATCCGATCGATTGTTTTCTTTTATTTAAAAGATAGCTAGTAAACCAATCGGATGRGATCTTTCAAAGCTGTGAAGGCCTACCCTGCACTGCCCCACAACTTCTGTCTACAGCTGTCGCATGCATGCGACTTGAGAGAGTGATCCAAAGTAATATTCTCCTTCACGGTTACCTGCGCCATCTTGAAAGGTAGCCATGCCTTTGCATCGAAGCGAGACAACCGTTGTGCGTGCAATGATAGAAACCTGTGAAGAATTGTCTGTAGGTGTGAAAGAAGGTTTCTATCATTGCATGCTCAACGGYCATCTCGCTTCGATGCAAAGGCACGGCTACCTTTCAAGATGGCGCAGGTAACCTTGAAGGAGACTGTTGTTTAACAGCACTACGGCGGTTGAGGCCATGTTATAAGGATGACCTGGCAAGTTGCATGCGATGGTTGTAGGCAAATGTCATATTKTCTAATTCCTTTGCCAAAACACACTGACTTAACGCATTGCATTTAATTATGGTGTTGAAACGCATCAACGTGGCGAATGTCAGTCTTATCAGGCCTTGCAGCGTTTTTTTCGATACTAAAATTGCCGCGGACTATATGGATAATTTACAAGTTCATTTAAGGCCGAATATGGTATAGATCAGTTAGAGCCGTTGTCAAATAGCCTGAAACCTAATAGCACTATGACTTAAGTTGTTGACATAGTGCAGCTCCCCATGCAGAAAACACTGCATCACCGTCAAAAGAAAAAAAGCCGCGAGGACTGACCCATTACYAAAAAAAGACGACGATGTAGTCTGCAAGCTGTGATTATGACATGTTGTGCGATAAAAAAGTCAGCTCAGTTACCGGGGAATTTGTCAAAAGTAGCTTTTATTATATCAATTTAAAAATGAAAATATTCTATGAAGTAACGAGCTGCTAGCTATTTAACGTAAAGAGTTTTASAACCATTATATTTTGGTTCCGTTTCTGGACTGCTCCGGGATATATTTCAAAATCAAAGTTTCAACATATTTTTTGATCCATTGCGTCGATGATATTTGTATCTAGTGACCAAATTCTTAGGACATGAGTACAGATACTACTTTCWCGATAGCCCTTTACTAGGTAACCATAGCTCAAACCTAATTTGAAAACCTCAAATGAAGCTCTTGATGGACTGCGTCATACATGAATTATGTATAGAGAGAGCTTTCATTGTGGTTTGGTACTTTCAAAAATACCCATGAAAGCACTTCTAAGTTGTGCATCATCACTTGAAGACTCTCTTGAGAATGGTCCATTCAAAACTGTCTTCATAGTTTGTCCTTATCTTAAAGTGTCAAAGATGTTTTATAATGTGCTAAATGTATCTAAACACTTTATCGTTTTGGTTGTTTAAATATTGATTTAAGGCTTCAAGATCGAGGGTTTTCCAGAAAGACAAACTAGTTTATTTAACATGTTCAATCTCAAGTAGAAAAAAGACTGGAATTTGAGTCAAAATTGAGAATTAAAATTAAACGCATTTGAAAATATGTTTACCTTTTGACGTGGAAGTATTTTATCGCGGAAACTATTAATGAGGCGTTTCAATATCAATTTTTAATAAGCTTWATCGTCAAGTTCAACTAATAGCTTCGTCAGTGTGTGCGTATGGTTGGTTAGTTAATCATTAAGCCCTAGGGCGAAGCAAGAGCACTCCAGGGTGAATTACACGATTATCAGCGATAAACAAATTGGCATAAAACGTGTTGATAAATAATTATTAAGGTTGTAATTTAGGCTTTTTCATAATTTTTAGCCTACAAAGAATAAAACGTAAACAATTAAGAARACATGATTTTCAAAGCCATTTACGAGGACCAGTTTTTTCGCAAATCACCTTTGTAGAGAAGGACTATATATTTGTATGACTAGAATAGTAATTATTCAAACTTTCACATGATGCCATTTTCATCAMGAAAGAGTGCACAGTGTGTTTAATAAAAGTCTAGTTCTTTAGAGAGAAAGATCTTTTTCCGGAAATATTTCTATATAACAATATCTCCTTTTTAAAGTTTTCATAAAAAACAGTGATATGCCATAAATTTTGACATCTCTGATCCGATGTATTTGACATTAAAAACAATAGAATGTTTACAATAATCGCGGGTGTAGCTCTAAATAAAGCGATTTCAATAATAAATAGAAATTTACCAAATCTTTAATTTTGTAAACATTACATATGTATATGTTGGTTGCGCATGTTTTTGGAGGAGTATGGAAATTTCTCGATCAAATAAAATGTCAAACCTCCTTGTACTCTTGAGCTGAAGAGTTTTCTCACCCAACGAGTCGCAATCTAATCTTGGGAATATTATTATCTTAGGGAGTTTYATTTCCGAATCATCTTGAAAACTAAAGGCTCTCTTGGTGCTTTCTTACATCAGCTGTCGCATTGTCTTCTCGGTCTGCACTCGTCCACTAGCAAGAAGCCCAGTRTTAATTGTCCATTATACAGTGATATCACAATAGAATCTAAATACAACACATTTTTACAACATTAACTAAGGACGCTGAAGATTTTGGCAAGAGTTTAACAGATAATTATGAGAGTAACATATTCTATCTTGCTCCTGTCCAGTTTATTGATTTTATTTGGTAACAGCGCAGAGGGCTTTGGYATGTTCTCAGGTCATCGTAATGGAAAGAAGTCGTCCATCGAGGTAAGAAAAATTATCTACCTAATAGTCAATCAAAACAGTACTTAAATGTTCTCTACTGTTAGGACCTTTTCAAAAATATATTTGGTCTGATTCACAGACACATCCTGATAAAAGATGCATCGCAGCGAGACAGCTCGGGTGCTGTAGCGGACGACCACATGAACGAGTTCAAGCTCAACGACGGTTTAACGCGGTTGGAGACGGAAAGTAACGCTGAATTCTGTAATATCAGTGTAATGTTAATGCTACTACTTAAAAACTAATCAAAAATGCAACTTTTTGTATTAGATTTAGTTAAAAGTTACTCTACTCTCATGTAATACTCTATGTTTTGTATGTAGCTTTATTATTTTGCTGATGTGAACACTTAWAGATCAAATACAAAGAATTTGTCAAGTTTCATTCGAATTGTTGTCATGATGTGTGAATATTGTTGGAGGCGTTCATTGTGTGGCTGTGCKTCGAAGYTCAAAACCACACGGTGACACCTTTTAAAAATGGAGTACTTGAAAACGAATGAAAATATKTACTGTCCCGAGGGTTCGTTTTCCTTTAAGATCAGCTTGATATATTGGGACGGGACATGTCATATGGACGCGTTATTGCTGAATGAAAAAAAWGAGTTTAGGGAAGAGATTACATGTTCTTGAGCGYTGGATTAGAGGACGCCATTTGTCGTTTTACAATTTKACAMACAYTTCCTATTGCGYAATTCACAATCCGTGAGTCTATTCAAACTAAAGATTCACCTATGGCATTTCAATGTTTTTATTCCATAGTGTTGTTGCCATACTTCCTTTCGACAACATGTATTTAACAATCAGTTTTGATTTCTTKTTAATTTCTTTTACGTGGAGTTTGAAGTTTGTCGGGAAGTTACAAAGGTTTTATTAACTATTGTTTATATTTTGCCAGCCTGTCTTCGAACTTCATATTGATCTTAATGAACACTATCTACATCAAACATTAAGAGATTCACATCGTAATAAGTCGGCTTATTGCAATCATTTACTGTCCAAGGGAAGCAGCTTCCCACTCAGATTCGTTCATTTTTTCATTTTCTGAATGACGTGTTTGCTCATAATAGGAACATCAAAATTAAAGTTAGTGGGAAGCCGATCAACACATATTGATGTTTGATTCGACTGCAAATATTAGTATTAAACATTAATTTGTCATCGACTACGTGTTGTAGTTTTCATTTGTAGTCATCATGAGTGTGTTTACGCCGGCTTAGCTTCTCTGGGCCAGGTGTACCAGTTGTAATTGACCCCACTTTGATCAACCATAGCTTCCTTAAACCCAAGATTATTACTARGACAAGAATAAATTTAAGGAATTGTCAATGACGGGGACTGAAATAGATAAATGAGACCAGTACAAGTCTATAGCTAAACTGTATATGATATACAATATACAAATTCTCTCCTTGAAACTTTTTTCGTGTTTGTMATAAACAAGGAGTTGCGAAGGATATCTAAAACAGCAAGGTTTAAAAGAGACCATTGYCTAATTCACATTTTTAAATGACTTTTAAATGAATTTTTAAGACTTAAAAGTCTTTGATTCTCTGAAATCATAAAAGCATAAAAAGAATATTATGATATGAGCCTTTAGCAAGTAATCGCTAATTCCATTGTTACAGATATGCACTTATTGGACTATCTCTGACTACGTGTTATCGATCAGTTCAGTTTTTTTTCTTCGTGGCCTATAAACGTCGGCACTATTTCTCACAATGCCCGAGCTTGTTTGTTTTCTGACAAGAAAACCCATATCGAGCTAAAGCTCTATTATCAATCCGGCCAAAATGAGCAAATAAACTAAATTTTCTGGGTCAAAATGTGTTTGCTGAATGTTATCCRGTTTTGTAGCCTATTCATTATTATTTTGTTTTGGTATCTTTGTCTTCGGAGTAAATGTCATCATATTCTAAAAAAACAAATCTATTATCGACTATTTAATATAGTTTACAAATTCTAATTACTTGTTGAAACATTTGTGAACGCGCTAAAACAATTCTTCTTTGATTAGTTGAGCTTAGTCCTGAATTTCTAGATAAGATGGTGAACTACTATATTTTTTAATAATTCTGAAGCTCTACCTTTTTTATATTACTCTAGACCGGTCTTATGGACTAATTTGAACAAATATAACCCGCATTTTTTTAAATTTAAGGTGTTTTCAGTTTCATTTTAAGTTATAAATAATTGGCGAGAGAGTTATAAAGTGTCAATCATGTTCCGTTGGAATTGCTAATTTTGTACTGGACAGCGAATCACRAAAATTAGTTTTAAATGGCTTTCGTCATTATCAGTTAMAGTAAAAACGTTATATTCAATTTGGGATGACTTGGAAATAACGTATAATTCCAGTCAAACATCAAAGTATCAAAACTTCAAACAATGTGGCAGAKACAAATCTTTTAATTTMCGAGTTTTAATTGCTATAGAATTACGATGTTTCTGCTTGTGAAACACCCCGGCGTGTGATTTCAATCCACTCGCTTTGTCATCAAAAATGTATCCAAAGCCCTTTTCAATATGTCTACATGTACAATTTAAAGTTATTTTCAATTAAGTCGTTTAATAAAGTACTCCTACATGATAACTGTTTATCAATTAACTTATTTGGCTATAAAAAGGCTAACACAGAGAGTGTGAGAGCGAGAGTCATACTAATAGCTCAACCACAAGTGAAAATGAAGTCGTTAGCAATGGTATATTTGGCTGTTTTAGTCTTCGCCGTTGTTGAAATAGATGCCTATGGAATGGGGGCCATGGAGGGGAGAAGAARTGYTATTCAGGTATGTATGTAGCTCTTTAGTGCTCTATGTAATTCACAAGCTTAACTACTATCTGAATTAAGCGRTTTTGGCTTTGCACAACACCCTTTACTCGAGAACGTAATAGTTTTTGGCGCTAACTAGAAGCAAGCGGATAAAAATCCATCTTAATCGCCTTCAGAGAAAGATACAGTATTATAATTCTGATATCTCAATATGTACACTTTACATTCTTATAAACTATCATCYGCACTTCCAGTCGCTAAAACCTATACATTTTGAAACTGGATGATAAACTATTCAACTATTGTCAACGCTTATATTATTATAATTTTAACTTATTTGAAAAAAAAAAACGTTTTTATCATCAAAAAAACAACCTACTTTCCATTTGTACAGAATTTGGATGTTATGTTGTTATAGTGTACATCCCATTTACGATTAAGTTACTATCATGGACCGTTTCACCAAAGTATAGATTACTGGAATGTTATTGAGTCAATATAAACAAACAAAAATTGATAATATTTCAAATCTTTTATTGRCATTTTCATAAAAAAAGATATTAATTGTACCATTCAAACTTGCAGTGTCACTTACCATTTTCACTAAATGACTTACTTAGTTGTTAAAAGATTCACATAAATCCTCTTTAATATCGTCATTGTTTAGCACAACTCACCATTTTCAAATGGTGAATASACTTTCTTGTGGACCGGAGTTACATCACGTTTTGGAAAGTAAAGTAATACTTTTGAAACACTTTTATACTTGGACACACTTAAAAGGGACTCTCTATAGATCATTTTTACTCAAAGACGTTGTAGTTTACTTCAAATTACTATACGTTAAATGAAAACTTCACGACGACTGCAAAGGACTGGACTCTCGTCTAAGTATCTGAGCTTTAATTCATGTTCCATAATATATAACRTTGATCATGTCTGAGAAAATAAGTACTTCACTTGTTAAAAGCGCTTGAAATCCCCTTATTTCGACATTAACTCAAAGTGTTTACGAACTTTTCGTTAACTAATGATTTCTCAATTAAAGTTCACACACTCTGCTGTTATAAGTGTTGTTYTTTGACTTTTTACCCCTGATCCAAAACTCAGGCACCATTTTGATCATGTTTTCAAGTCCTACACTACAATCATTAGCAGTAACGGCATTTTCGCATTGATAAAAAATGTTAAAAAAATATGTTTTGTCATTTTATTACGAAGGAGTCGTGTTTTTGATTTGATTACTAGACACAACTGCGCGAACTCGCGCTTATATTGAGCTTAAAAGCAGTAAAAGAATCATTCACGATAGAATTTTCACTCTTAAGAGTTTTCTCGTAATATATCGCTCGCAAAGTTATAACCTCTCTTCACTAGTTTTGGGAAAGTATCGTCCCAAAATTAACACACATTTTCTAAAACCTTGTCCGCAATTATTATAGTGGACAATGCGGTACATTTCATTTTGCGCATGCCTGCTCTTATCATAGCTGCGTACGCRTGCCCTTATTTTGGTAATTTTCATTATTGCTGAACAAGGAAAATAAAAAAAAAATAACACTAACGACGCTGAATTTTTAACTTGCTGCTTTCTAGCGAGTAATAAAGCTGATATACAGYAATCTAATACGCCTATATACCGCGAGACCTGATGTCTTCGAGCAAAATTCATTTAATTTTGATTTCTTTTGAAATGTCGACAAGAAATTGATGCATGGTTTTTTTGAGCAATTAAAAAATCAATGCCAAAATGACTTCATTGACGCCAACACATCTAAAAAGTAATAACCATGACGACATATTTCTCATTTAAAGGGACATCGCCCACGAGCATCCCTTTCGAGCTTTTGTCAATGTTTGAAAATAAAATGCATTGTAATATAAGCAAAAACTTACTCTTTTTTATTCCTTTATGATCCCGTGATAGACAAGTTCGTAAAGTCATCCCGTACGTCGACTAATACTTTTATTACACGATCAACTCAAATGGGACAACTCGTCACCAAAATCCTCATTAAGCCAACGCCTCGCATAAAAAATATATTAAGCAGGCATGAATTACAGCGCWCTTTATTGCCTTTTCAGAATCATCGAGTCTCGGCCAGGAAACTTTGCGATTGGGCAAGAGATAAGTGCAAATCATGGACAAGACTTCAACAAGATCCTGAAGACAGAAAACGATTTTACAGGGAATAACGTTCTTCTTGAATTAAGATGTACGAGCAATAAACTCAGATATATTTTCAAACCAAGACATTTATCGTGTTATTCTTTTGAATACAAAGAGACATTATCAAAATGATTATTAATAAAAAGTTGAAATAAAACCAATTAGCAGTTCTTGAGTTCTGTAATGGATGATTTGTAAACCGCACCCCGTGACCGATGCAGGAATTTCAATAGAACTGTCGACTGTCCTCTCAGGTCGTTGTTTGAGCTTGTTTGTTTATTATAATTGTTTGTATTATTATTTTTTATTTTTTTATTTTTTTTAAACAGAAGAAAAACCCAAACTACAACAGCAAGACACAACACAAAATATGTTTACATGATTTTGTTCAGACTTTAATTTTTGTTACATCTTCACTACCTAGAATAAATCAAGGTTAATTTAATAATTATTTTGTGCTTGAATCAGCTGAATCACAAGTTGGATAAACGGCACCATTGGGTAATTCAAAAGTGAATCAAAAGCTAGAATCATGGTCAGCGTTTGATAAACCAATAAATCACTATTCATACTATACAATATTTATGTGGTTTATGTGGTTTTTCTCATTTTCCCGATACTGGAAAGTATTTAATGATCCAAACATGCTATGCATAGTTGGYGGATACGACACGCACGCGTATTTCTCATTTTGGGCGCAGCTGAGCACAACGWTGAACAATAACATTTGCATATTTGATTCAACCACAAAACTATCCGCGGATAGTTTAACTTGCTCAGCTTTTAATGAAGCAAGAAAAAGAATTACGGCCATAAATAGTCGACTTTAGATATTTTGGTTCAGTGACCATGCACAAAAGAATTGCAGACGAGGYTCCGGGGAAATAAAAGAATAAATCGAGATTATCCATTGTTTCCCCGGAGCCYCGTGTGCGTTCTTTTGTACATAGTCATCGAACCAAAATATCTAAAGTTGACTATTACCACAGGCATCTCAACCTTCACGGCTTGTACGGGTAAATGGACCAATAAGAAACATGCACCTCACTTCAAGCCGAAAACAGTCGCAAAGAATCCAGGTTCGTACTGGGGCTTTTAAGGATGAATTTGCGTACGTGTCCACATGTATTGGCTAGGCTCTTTTATTCGACGTACGTATAAATATATTACATTTTACATTAAAATAATGTTGCAATTCACATTGTAGTTGAAGTATATCCAGAATCGCGAGCAAACATGTCTTCGTAATTTAAATTGCTATGCCATGAGCCACTTGGAGTGTCATATTCGGGTTCGCTCACACTATAGCTTAGGGATCTTGATCCTAGAATGTCTTCTGCGTTGAACATTTCTTTGGCTAATTTGGARCTCAACACACTTTGCTCATGGCTCTTAATAGGGTTCTCAGAGGAACTGGAAGAACCCTTTGATGATCTGWTGTTTAGCTTGCGTTTGATGAAAGCGAAGATGTTACTCAAACTAGCGCAATTGCACGAAGTCTTCTGGAAAAAAAAAAAAACAATTACTGAAAAATGTACCAGATAACTCCTTTCCTGGGCAGACGAAACTCCACTTGGATTGAACTGTACATGGGGGAATAATTTTGACACCTCTTCCAAGAGCAATTTTGAACCCCTTTAATAATACAGTAGCAATTTTGTCTTTTTTAGATTTGACTCACTACTGGAGGACAAACTACTCGCAGTGTAGAGTAGATTTAACTCTCTTTAAAGTTACTCCAGCAGGTAGAGTAACATTAACTCTATCGGACATTTTCAGCATTTCTACTCAGTTTGTATTTGAAAATACCAGTAAATGTGCAGTGTTTTTCATGGCGATCACCATTTCTCTTTGCGCCAAAATTAAGATGCWTACCTCAGTCCTATGCAGATTAACCTATAGATAGAAGAAGTGGAGTTGCTTCTTGCCCAATTATAAATTTGCACGATCGTTTTTTTTTTTGTTCGCATTAAAAAAAAAACTCACAAAAATCTATGAAATGTTTCTTGGAGAACCATGTTTTGTAGGAGTGGAAAATGCATTGAGCTTGAGCCCAGCTGGTTGGTGCAGGGGGTGCGCACCCACTCCTGAGATCAGCATCCTTCAATACTTTCCTGATTTTGTATCTTCATTGTAATGATTTTTGTGGGGTGCACCCCATCCTTAGAGTACCCTGCACCCTGCACCCCTCCCTGAGGAAAATCCTGCATCCGCCCTTGTGAGGACTAGCATTGGTTGACTCAATAATGAAAAAATAAGAACGGGTAAGATTTAGCCTTCTCCACAGCCATCACAGCCTTCCTGTAGTTTTTTTTTTCGAGCATAACTCTCCTTTTAAATTTGCTTTTCGAAAATCTTGCCATGCACCGAAAAAAAATGGTGTCTAGACCAGTTTCAAAGCATTGATTGACCGAGGCAAGTTTTGTTTGGCATGATATTTAGGTCCCTCATCGTTATCAAGGCAACGGATATCTCACTTTGTCGAAATTCTTTTTTGCCAAATATCTMAAAAAAAATTGATGGGATCCAGAAAAGAGGTAGACATTATCATTAACCACGGGTTTTAGGAGACTCCTTGTTTTGAGTAGTGAGAAATTCTTGTTCATGGACAAAATAATTAACACGCTATTTACTTTGCTTGAGTCTTTTATAGAGCACTCAAGTGATGATGTCACAAAACGAAAATGTTTGAGTTTTTAAATTTGCACTCCCTATTCTGAATTTGCATCTGTGTTGTAATTCATCCTTGCATCCTTAGTGGCATCTGTAGCTGAGAAACAAGCGATTTTATGGTCGAGTGATCACATACAAACGATTGTAAATGTGGTCGCATTCCTTTCGAAAGGAATCCGAACAAATTTACAAGCGTTTTTATGTGGTCTTAAAACACACAAAACAAACGGATTTGTATTGGATTGAAGCGGACATGGTAGTTTCCTTATATGGGTGAAGGGGACAGGGTAGTTTCCTAATATGGCGATGACGCGTCATGGCAAGATTTTCAAAAAGCAAATTTAAAAGGAGAGGGATGGTTGAACAAAAACTATAAGAAGCCACCTAAAATCCCACATACTTACTGTCTCATCTGGGATGGGCGAGCCATATACTGTCTGAAATAGTATACTGATGTTTCTTGGAACCCGTTTGGCTTGTCTTATAAATCTCTCATAACATCTTTGGAAATCTTCGAGWGTTAGCTTTTCCTTAGCATATTTGTTGTAACTTTCAAATTGTTGTAATAATGCTAATACCACASCGGACTCCTCGTCATATGGGTAGTTCAGACGGGAAACAGATGTTGCTGAAGCACTTTTACGTGCATTAGTGCTTTCAACGGTTGCAGTGGAAAACGTCATTGAATGACTCCTTTTAGTGCTGTCATTACTAGGTTGAATTCTATTGCTTGTGTGCAGTCTATGGGCCGATTTCGCTAAGGACAGTGGTGATGGATCACGTCCTCTGATATTTTCAACTAAGAAGGAAAACAGTTATTGTTATCAGCTGAGTGTGTATTAACAGCTATAGAGCATTTCCATTGTGCTGAAAACATTAGGTCTCTCTCGCGCAAAATAAAACTAAAAAGTGTGGTAAATAWATAAATTGTTYACGGTTTGTTTCGCTGGATGTCCTCTAATTGATACACGTTTGAAAACATATGAATGCTCAATAAACATATCCAATGAGATCACTCGCTGTGCTCGTGGGTGCACTTGAATTCAACGTTTTATGACGTTTAGAGTACAACTCAAAACCGCGCACAATTTGTTAAATCGCATGAGCTATGGTGACGTCATACACGTATTAGTGACATCAGAAAGGAAAGAAATCAATATTGAAAGCAAAATAAACAAAACTAGCTTTTGCACAACTTTAAATTTGATTCAAAGTTGTTCTTAATACTTAAAAGTATTAAGTACAGCATAATCATAATCTGATAGCTTCTCAATATGCTGCAAAAAGAAAACGCTCGCCTGCTTTTCTTACCCTTATTGTTATCCTTATYGCTAGACTCTTCATCGTTAGTCCAAATGCAATAAAACATTTTATTTSTCAGCGAATGGAAGCAACCCACCTCACGAGACTCTGGTCGAGGTTTTTGTTTTCGCTGCTCTCTTTTTTGACTGAAGAAATTCATTTTGAATCTGAAATCAAATCAACCCAAATGTAAAAAATGTCAATGCGCGCATTTATGAATGAGCATCTAAAGATCAATAACGTTTTTAAAAAATGTCACCCACCAAGCTATGTCGAGTCAAACTTCTTGGAAGTTTAGCGCTCTGATCTGCAAGCAATAACTTGCCGCTTAATTTTGACACTGTCAAAATGTGTCTGTGCATGAATGGCTGCTGTGAGAACTACTGATTAGCGCGCAGGTAATTGGGTAATTGATTGTGATGTCACTGCAAAATGAAAATTGTGATTGGTTTAATTCGATATTATTCCATTGCATTATCTTGATTATGATAAATAGATTTTTGCTAAACAATGGAGCTTTTTACCGCACTCGCAATGTACCGCACTCGCAATGCATTGTGGGATATGTTTGGGACAAAACATGGCGGATTTTTTTACCGCACTCGCAATGTACCGCACTCGCAATGCATTGTGGGATATGTTTGGGACAAAACATGGCGGATTTGTTTTGTTTTCTCGGTAAAATGATAACACAATGCATCAAAAATCAAGTAATGACATAATAGGTTCAGAGGTCTATACGTTCGTCATTTTGAAACTCATCGTTTCGGGAAGATTTACTGACTGAAATACTTTAAAATTTACGATCATATTATAAAAAGTTTGAAAACACTGAAAAATACATATATGAGAGGTTTCAGCTGAAAAGGGGTCTTATTCATAAATCTTTTGCTTTGGACTACATATAAAACTGTTGCGTCATCAAAGGGGTCTTAATCTTTAAGACCCTTTTTAAGTTGCAACCCCTCATATACATATGTGGTGCTTTAAAAAAAACTGAAATAATAAAAAATTAAAGATGAAAAAAAAAATAATAATAATAATCAGTTACCAAATTATCAGAGAAAAATATTTATTCATACAGTCGATATGCAGATTGTTTTTAAGAATATATACGCATCCAGTATGCTTGCTTTACCCCTTTACGAAGACCCTGCTAGACTTCTTTCTTAAAGCAGTTGCATATTGAGGGCTTGCAAACTAAAAGTCTAGTGGTTAGACTTAAGTCAGGATTATTGACAGAAATCATGGGTTTCACTTCTAGACAACCTAAAGTCAAAGTTTACATACACGCAGGAATAACATATAACGAAGCTGCAGACCAGCTAAGCCTATATAGTGTCCATATACGGTAAATCCTAAGGATATATCAAACCGGTTAAGAGAAATAATCACTGAAGAGCAAGAAAGAAAAACTTGGTGGTCGCTAAACCGTTTAAGAACTTGACTATAGTTTTGGTGATGGAGCAAAACTTACAACAAGAAAGGGCTGCAACTAAGATAACAACACAGCATGTCATGGGTGAAATAACAAAAAACACTCTTCGCGAGATTTTAAGGAGGGGATGGCCTGGGCGCTATAACCCATGAATGAAACAAAGACAAAGACAAAGGCAAACTAAGGACTCATCGTCCACTGATCTGCGAAATTTAAACTAATCAGTTACTATTTTTTAACCTTTATTGAGGTCTGTAATAGACGATTTCCTAACCGCACCAATGACGGATGCAGGAATTTCAGTAGGACTTTCCWTGAGCACATGGACAGTCCTCTCATGTTGTTGTTTGAGCTTGTTTTTTTTAATCTTTTTTTCTTTTTGTTTAGTAATGGAACTTTTACGGATGAATTTTTATTGGAATTACGTATGTATACTACATTTTGTATGGGAGAATTTTGTAAAATATATACTGTAAAGGTTTCAAATTGTAGTTGAATTTCATTAAAACATTTCATTATATCCAGAATCGCGAGCATGCATGTCTGCAAGCCTTTCTGCATAATTTAAATTGTCAGGCMATGGATCCCTTTGAAATTGAACATCACCAGAATTGTTATCTTCGAAGTCGTTCCCACTTGACATTATTTCAAAAGAGTTCCTAAAGCTTTGACTACTTGATCCTAGAATGTCATCTACCTTGGACTCTTCTTTTKCTGATTTGGGGCTTAACACACTTTGCTCATGGTTCTTAATATGGTTTCCAGAGGAACTGGAAGAAGCCTTTGATGATCTTATGTTTAGCTTGCGTTTGATGAAAGCGTAGATGTTACTCAAACTAAAGCAATTGCACGAAGTCTTCTGAGTCGTGCTTTGAATAGAGCTTGATCTGGAAATCTGAGATGAAATCTGAAAATGTATCAATCAAAATAAAAGATTTGAACTTTAAATGCTGTTATCATCAAAGGAGTTTTTTTCCTTTCCTTTATTGAACAAATACACACACACAAAAAAAAACATCACGTTTTACCACTTATTTACAATTAATGAGAGGCACACTAAGTATTCATCCCTAGATTTACTATATATAAGTTTGTTTTTCATTTACATATGTCAAGTGAGGGGGCACACTAAGTTTGCTTCATTAGATTTACTATGATTTTCAATATTGCCGTGGTAACACACAGTACAGACAACAAAAACAATTGAAAACAACTACACCGGTATGGTTTTTACTAAGTATGATAAGGGGCCAAAAGAAAAAAAAAAACTCGAAAAATAATGCTTATTATAAAAAATTCAAAAACATTCGTGGAACTGTGGCATATACAAATGTTCAAAATTCTCATATTTTTTTWAATGTGTCCCTAGTTTATTTCTCTTTTTCTTTCTCTTTCATCAAAGGGATTGATATAACTCCAAAAAAGGAGTTAATGGAAAATGTACCAGATAACTCCTTTCCTGGTCCAGATTAAGCTCTACCTGGATTTGACTTTTTGTTTTTTTAGAATCATGCTTGGTWAAACTTAAAAATGCTATAAAGTGTATATTTTTACAATTAATCTTTGGTAATTCTAGCACTGAAAGTCTGTAATTTTTTATTTGGCAAAAAATCCTATTACTGAAAGCATTAYATGACATGCGAGGGCAGACTTTGATAACCGTCARCAAATTAAATCCCGCATACTTACTRTCTCTGCATCTGCGTCGAGCGAACCAAGTACTTGCTGATATAGTACGTTCTCTTTTGTTTTTGGACACCTTGAGGCTTGTCTTAAAAGTTTCACATAGTATCTTTGGAAATCTTCCAGAGTTAGCTTTTCATAAGCATCTTTGTTGTATAATTCAATTTGCTCAAGTATTGAAAACACTACACTATACTCATCATATGGCAAATCTGGACGGGGAAAAGATGTTGCTGAAGAACTTTTACTTGCATTGATGCTTTCTTCGCTTGAAGTGGGAAACGTCTTGGTATGACTCTTTTTAGTGCTGCCATCGAAATTACTGAGCGGAGTGCTATTGCTTTTATGTAGTCTACAAGGCGATTCCACTAAGGATGGTGCTGTACTGGGAATGTCACGGCCTCTGACATTTTCAACTAAGAAGCAAAAGAGTTATTGTTAGCACCTGAGTGTCATAACAAAGCATTTCCATTTAAGTCTCTCTCGCGCAAAATTATTTCGCATTTTAATAAAAAATATTAAGTTGTTCACTGTCATTTCGTTGTATGGCCTCTAATTGACACATGTTTGAAATCATATTTAAAATGTTCAACAACATTTCCAGTAAGTGCACTCACTGCGCTCGTGGATCCACTTGAATTCAACTTTTTATGACGTAAAGACTACAGCTCAAAACCGCGCACAATTTGTTAAATCGCACGAGCGCTTTTAGTTGGTGACTTCATACACGTATAAGTGACATCAGAAAAGAAAGAAATCAATTAGTAGAAGAAAGAAATCAAAGTAGTTTTTGTGTACAGCTTTGARTTAAGTACTAAGTACAGCAGGATAATCATTAATCTGATTGCTTCCCAAGATKTTGCAGAAACAAATTTCTTTTTTCTTATCTATAACGTTACCTTTATCGCTAGGCTCTTTATCGTTCACCCATATGCAATAAAACAATTTGTTTCTCAGCGAATGAAAGCAACCAACCTCATTATACTYTGAACGAGGTTTTTGTTTTTGCTGCTGTCTTTTTTGACTGAAGAAATTCATTTTAAATCTGCAATCAAAACAAAKCAAATGTACAAAAATGGCAATGCACGCATTTATATACGTGCACTAACAAYCTAAATGGAGCAAGAATGTTTTTGCAAATGTCACTCACTAAGTCACGGAGAATCAAACTGCTTGTATGTCTTTTCTGATTTGCCAGTCAGTCGATCGCTTCTCAGTGAATTTGACACTGCGCGTGCATGAGTGGCTGTGAGAACTACTGACTAGCTGGTAAGTAATTGGCTAATTGATTGTGACGTCACTGAAAATGGAATGGTGTGATTGGTTTGACATTTTCACATCACATTCTCGTGATTTTTGTAGATAATCTATATTTGCTATAGAATAGTCTATATTTGCTATAGAATATAGACATTCTTAAGGCTGATTTACACGGCACGATTGTCTCGTGCGATTTGTAGCATACGACTTGAATCTCGCAGTGTAAATGCCCCTACGACTTGTCTACAACAGTTGTACGCAACCTACGACTTGTAGTAGGATTTTGAACCACTGCTTAAAATCCTACGACTTGTGCTTAAAATCCTACGACTTGAAGTAGGAAAATCGTATACTGCAAGTCGTACGCGAAAAATCGTACCGTGTAAATCAGCCTTTATATAGGCATACGTTCATTCATTGTTGTCTTGAGGGCTAGCTAACTGAAATGCTTTAAATGATTATATTCTAAGAATTTAAGAATATTGAAAATTGCAACATTTATGCAGTGTTTTGAAAAAAAATTAGTCGATGCATAAAAAAAATAACCCAAGTACGAAATTACTACAGAGAAAGTAATTTTCTCTATCATTCAGTCTATATAGCGATGAAAGTATGCTTTATCTTTATAACCTCCTAAACGGATTTATTTAGAAGATTATTATTCTTAAAGAAATAGAGAATGAGGGAGGGACGGAGAGAGACAGARAAAATAAAATCTTCGAAAGCAAGTGTATATCCTATACCTATAGGACTCATATCATTGATCTACGAAATATTTTTTTTTATGTGAATGTTTTCATTTCAAAAATTAGTGTTCTTAAACGAAAAGATACAAATGTAAAGGGTGATTAACCTAATCAGTAATTATCTTTTATCTGCAAAATATCCTTTTATTTTATTTTCATCTGCATAAATATTATGGTGTTAAAAGATCAGTTTTTGTAGCGTCTTATTGAGTTATGACGTCAAACGAGTATTAGCGAATCGTTGAYCTAAATATTGACATACGAATCGGCGAATAAGAATCCTTTCAGCTAAAAGCATACAAACAAGATGACAGGAGAAAGCAAATGTCTGAATACTTTGATCAATGCATAAATCACAGTCGTCTCATAGAAACGAACAAAAATGAACCGTTATGCTGTAAACAATATCTCWTCCAATGACTCCACTACATGGTCTWATAGCTAAAACAAGCTCACAACTTTCTGAAAGGCAAATCTTGRTAAGTATTATGGCATGGTTGCATTTTGGTTGACAGTGAAGTAGACTGAGCACTTCTTTTGTTGAGCAMTTCTATTTGAGCGTTTRCTTTTTATTTATATTTGTTCCTAAGACGTCTAATCTAGAAATCCTTTTTGGGTTGCAAATCCTATTAATGCACATTAATATCAATGATATCTTGGAAACAAGATGCTTTTAGTGGAAACTGAGAAATTTCAATCTTTAATCACGAAAGTTCAGATAGTTTCTACATAGTTTCGATTTCCYTGCGTCGCTCGTTCAAAGACACTAATGAAGACTAATTGCTGTGCAGTAGTCTACGTCTATCATAGGAGCACTTTTAATCCAGATATAAGTACTTGGCTTTGAAGATTTTATGTGAAATATACGTCGTTTCACAATTCTTGGCCATGGTACAGAACACTGAAATGATTATATATGTAAYATGATTGTACATCACATTCTCAGATAGATACGTACAACTTATACTAATAGTGATTGAAAGTTCAGCGAATACAAGAGTATTTTTTCTAAAGGAAGTCTTCGTTCCAGTTTTTTATGATTGCTTTGGTACATTTTCAAASTCATAACTGGGCGCAATCACGACTTGCATTCCGCGTGCTCTTCCCAATCTCTTTGAGAGCTCGGCTTTTCCTGAAATGCTRTATTGCCTGCCACCGCTACAATTRTACTSCTAGATTACATATCCAACAATTACACCGTGRGWTTGAGTGAAGTAARTGCAAGGAGTTGCTCGTAGGCCATGAGGCCGTACTTGGCAGAACGGATTATCAACTCGTACTGAGTTGACGAGAGCGAGTAATCTGTCTAAATTGTTGCAAACAATAGATTGAAAACAAATTTTGAAAAGCTATCCCGCTAAAGATATTTTGTTGTTTGTTCTCAGCGTGGTCAGTGCGTTGGTGTTTTTGATATCATAGGTAAATAAATTGTTGAAAAGTGATATATATTTCCTGTAAAAGCTAACATAGTACTTCAATCACTGCTGTAAACGATTCTCGATGTCAATTTTTTGAGTACAACATGACAAGCACTCYCATATGGCAGTCGCCTGAATGTGTTTTTTTTAATCTGCTTTTTACAGCAGGTACTAGAGCTAAGCATGCTAATAAGCAGAGGATTTTGACGTACTGAGAGGGTCGGGTCGTAAAAGGAAGTATCCAATCCCAWTTCCCAATCAAATTTTAAAGTAATAACAGCAACTCTCACTGGAAAYCCAAAATACTGTTGTCATTTTAGACAAAAGCAACTTGTTTTAACAACGCTTTGATTTATACATATATTATATATATTGATAAGTAGAATGAAATAGAACAAAACACCAACTTGAAGCTATAAAAACTCTGTTTATTATTAGGACGTTTGGGCACTTCAGCCTTCTTCTATATATATTTTGATATACAACTCTCTGCTCTCTCAACTCTCTCCCAAAATAAAAACCTAAATTAAGTTGATTAATTGCTTGAAAATTCGCACCACGTCACWGCAATGATGAAATCCAGTTTTAATTTAATAATCTTATTTCGTATAATTCTTCAGAGGTACTCGCAATGACGATGGCGCAGAAAGGACTTTTACCTAAAGTTGGTCACTCAAGCCCAACAGATAAAGCACTWTTTCAAAATCATCACCAAAAGAAGAAAACCTTGAATATGACAGAACTATCGGAGTACTACAAGYWTAAAAAACTTCACRTGGGACGATTTCCTCGTCAATCTCACAGGAAACAAACTTTGCAAAGTASGCCTCACAAACTTAAGCTCCCTTCAATCGCTATGAAATCCAGAAAAGATGTTAAAAGTACTATCAATTCTAAAGAAGTTARACTTCCTCAATTACCTCCGAAAAAGGAACCAGCGAGAAGAAAAGAAACTGTAGTTATTGTCTCTGGTACTAAACCTACCGAAAAAACTGGGGGAATAGCTGGAAATTGTACGTCTAATTCTAAAAAGGATAATATTGATAATAAAAATGGATCAAGGACCATTGTTAATGAAAATATTCACCAGGAAGTCAAAAGTGAGTTAGAACCACAGAATTTACAGCCTCCTAKTGTGGACAACGAAGAGCCAACAAACATYCCTAAGCAACGCACAAGAATGAGTCAAAGCGAATACTCAAAACAGATAAAATCGMGRAGAAAGCTAGCATGGAAAGCACAGAGAGAGAAAGCAAAACTTTTCAATATTGACTTGGTTGATCTTCACAGGAGCATGCTGACGTCATCAGCGACTATGCGCGGCCTGATGAAACTGAACGCAAGCGAAGTTGTTATTTATAGATTCCGTCTGTCAAATTATGACATGATTGACATACAATACTAATAATTATGGAAATATCTGACAAAATTGGCAGCTTTAATAATTTTGAATTGGCTATGTTGGGCTTCAAACGCCTTTGTAAACTGACTGAACTTTTCAAGAACTATATGTCCATACTGACATYACACACTCTTGACGTCACTGAATGTTTAAACTCATGGGAACCCATATGAGTTTATGTAGCGTATAGTGTCAATATTCATTATCATGAGTCAAACATTTAGAGCAATGCAGTGGGTGTACCCACTTGTACCGCGAAACATAGAGTCATTTTCATCCGTCTGTGAAATAGGAATTGTACTATGAAATACTATTACCAATAGTTTAACTTATGACATGCGACAAACTAATTAGGCAAACGTAACACGGTTTTGATTTTGCTTTTTGRKAGTCTACTACACCCCAATAGTTACTATTAAACACTGACTAGTAGTAATTGTTTCACAGACGGATRAAAATGACTCTAATCAAAGAAGTAWTAACTGGACTATTAGTGTTTATCTACTGATTATTGTATCTAAAAGTAAATATCACTGAACCCCCAGAACAATTTATGAAAACAAAAGGTAATTGGCCATTCCGAAATTCAAAAGGAGACTGGGAACGAGTGCGAAAAAATTTCATTCATCGAAAACTGAACTCACCACATGAAAGACCCCACAAAAATAAGTGTTCTTGTCAAGTTTGAGCATATTTGGTTAAATACTCACCGAGTATTCTCAAATTGACTTTTTTCAAATTTGTAAAAATAACAGAGAATGACATGACTGTATGTATGGTTTTTGGGAAAGCCCGGGTGGGAAAGCTGCTCAAAACCTCCATACATTCTTTGTAATTTTTTCGAGTTTTAAACGCATGAAACTCTGTAATTATTAATCCGAATACACTCAAACTCATCAGTTTTACTAATTTTAGTATGCTCTTTCTTGTTCTGGTATCTGTTTTTAGATTGATTCAAACAGTATCTAGTTTGTTAATAGCACCAGTCCTTTTTTGAATTTCGGAACGGGCAATACACGAGAGACTTGGAAGCTATGCAACGTTATTTAGCTATAATTAATGAATAGTTCTGGTTCTGTTATATCTAATATCATTAGTCGTCAGTAAATAGACACTAATAGTTCAGATTATATTTCACGGTAAAATTGCGTTGACTCCATTCCAACTACGATTTTAGTCTCAGACTAGGCACTGCACTTAACGAWTGCGAGAAGTCTTTGACTGAAAATGCTATTTCCTGTAATACARGGATATTCCATTCTGAGAATCTCACCCATCCTAACGGGACGGGATGACGGGGTAGAACTGACTATTGGATGCAGAAATAGATTAAAATAGTTATTGTAATTAATCAGAAACGAATTATATTAATTTGACTCATTATAGCGGATTCGATACTGAACGGYGCGACCATTACAACTGTTCACTAAACATAATTTTTTGATTTTATACAAATAAATTTMGATTAAAATGGCGAAAGCTGGATGCACTATTTCATTATTCTTCTGAAAGTTTGGGTGATCATCTAGTATCTGTTGGTGTATCTAGATCTCCTCGCAAAATATTCGGCAAATAAACATGTATAGAAAGTTTTCTTCCAAATTCTTCCTCTGCAATATCATAGGTTGCAGAAGGAAGGTCAACTGACCGTGTTTGCATTGAACTGTCTTTAGTCTTTCCTCCTCTGCACACGGCATGGCGCGCCCATGGAAGAACAGGGCTTTCATTGCGTTGACCAGAGCGGTATTTATCGCGAAACCTCCTCAAAAGCTCCAAATCTTCCCYATCTAAGACTGRACTAGCTGCCTTGGACTTGAGGCTTATTCCAAATTGACTTTCAAGTAAATTGATGTTCTCGGGATTCACTTCAAAACGAACTGGTTTTGACTTACCACCAAGAAGAATAAAAATGTCTTCCTCGTCGGCTGGATTTGTTAGCGAATTGTTTCCATAATTTCTGCTGTTGTTAAATGGAAAAGAGCTACACTTCATATTGACATCTTCCTGCATGATTGCATCGTGACGAGATTTAAGCTTTTTTAAAGAAGAATAAAGTTTGTTAATGGCAATGGAATGGCTTTCTTGGTTTCGTCGTAGTGAATGTTTTGAAGGAACGTGTATTGCATCTTTTTCGTTWAGACATTTTTCTCCTTGGCACTCTACTTTTTGACCGGTGCAGAGAATACGTTTTAAAGGAGAATCAGCGTCCTTTTTCTTACCATTATAATGAATCCGCAAGGGGCCACCAGTGTTCAATTCCAGCCGTACTTTTGCAGGTTTCCTGGAACTATTTTCGCAATTGTCAGACATCTTCGCTGAAGAGCAGCGCCGCGAGCGAGAAGAAACCACGGCAGTGGAACTTTGTGGTTTGTTTGGCAAACTTTCTTCATTGTTTGGTTCACGAAAAGTCTTTTCTGTTCTTTCTTTGCCAGCATCTGTTGTGTATTTCTTTATCATTGAATTATCCAAGCGTTTGTAAAGCTGTTTCCTTTCCATTGTAGCACCTAGAGACATATTTTCCGACTAAACTACACAGAGATATCAGATATGAAATGTAGCCATTTTCCATCCATAAGACTCCTGAAGACGTACTTATGTAATGAAATCAAGTGTATTTGTAGTGCAGCAATTGTTCACTTTGCCTTGGTAACTAAAAGTGATTTGATAAGCTCTCGTTTTGACAGGTTAAAGTTACACAACAAAGAAATGTTAACTTACGTCATAATAACTATTAATCCCAAACGAATATTGAATTGTACTGTGAGTTAATTATCTTTGACCAGCCACGTTATTAGAGCATCCTATATAAACACGCACCGCTTTCATGAAACGCTTTCACCAAGCCAGCACAAAACGACATACGATATCAGCGATCTCTCTCAGTTACATTATTTTCAAAAGAAATGTTTGGAAACTATTAAAACATGTTTAAGATCTTCTTTTTGTGTATATGATAGGTGTACATAAACGCTTTGATTATAAAGTAATTGTATAGCCAATCTACATAGTTTATAGACTTTATAGGATGTTAAAGCTAAATGAGTCCTTTGCGGAGGACAGACATCTTCAATATAAAAGTTTGCTAGTTTCGTCAAGTYGATTTTTTTTACTGAGCTTCAAGTTGCCTAGTAAGTTTATTTTGTAMCAGTTGTCCAAAATGGTAAATAATAACACCGTGAAGTAAAAAGTAATAGGAGAAATAACGTTACGTTTCGGACGTTAATCCCCGAGTAACGAGGCTTTAGTTGATCTATTTTTTTACGGCCGTTAATCTTGTTGCACAACTGTTTCTTTGGAAWCACGGCGACGTAGCTCACACTCTACAGTCTCTAAAGTTGTCTTTCAGTACTTTGCATGATCAAATGAAGACGTTTGGATCATCACTCTTATCTAACAATTCATCATTATTATTTATCATTATTATTATTACTTTTTGATCATGATAAATGTAATTAAACTCAACAGTAAATTTAGCGTCAGTAATATTTTACAACATATACGATCAGTTTTAGTCTCGTGAAACTTGTTAGTCTCGTGTACCATTAGTGCGTAGTGAGCGTTTACAACCGTGCTAATTAAGTGTAAGTGATTATTATGGATAGAAATAAAAATCAACCTTTGATGATTAATTATGATCAATTATATTGTTTTCATTTATTTGAGTTAATGGCAGTCTATTGGAAGTGCTAATGATCTTATAGGCTGGGCACTTTATCGAATTTGATGTGCAAATCAAATAGTACTAAAACTCATTATAAGCTATTAGAAATTCTGGAGTCATGAAATGAAATGTAATTTCTGTCATATTGAGCCAATCGAAAAACTAACCATATCACTAAAAAGACTTTATCGACTTTAGTGTAGGTTTCAAGTTACARATMATTTGGACAAATATTCAATTGAATGAGAAGCCGYTCAATTTACAGAGAATGTATGKGGATTTTGACCGCGTCCCCCAAAACAATACATTCTCTRTTAATTTGATGACTGGGAACAAATACTGTTCAGCTAATTTTTATCCAAACGTTTTGAAACTTGGTATATTTACTAWTTTTTGTGTGTTCTTTCATGGGGTGGGGTTTGTTTCGTGATTAGATYAATATTTCTTTGATTAGTGCCCAGTCCCCTGCTCAACTCCGGAATAGCTAATATACACCTATTTCAAAAAACGTTGTCGTCGCCAGGACTCAGTCCACAGTCTTGAGCCCCCAAAGAATCTCGGGATTGCCATATAYAATTATACGTTCAATTTCAGTTATTCAAAATACTCCGATTTAGAGTTCTGGTTTGCCCCAAAACCAAGCAACATATTCTTTTGTTTCATTGATAACCAGAGAAAACGCTTGGAATTTGAAAAGGGAGACAATAGAATTGATTTTAAATCTCAAACTTTTATTCTCACAATTAGGAATATTTTGCGAACAAATTATGCTAACACAGAGCATTGTAGAATTCGAAACTGGATCATTCTCGGTCTCATAGCGAATATAGATTTGAAACTCATTGACGTTTTAAAAACGTGGAATATTCATTTCAAGGAAAATATCGAGACTTGTTATATTAGTAGTGTTTGCCACCATTGAATTCAAATTCTAAAATATTTAGGATACTACGCGCGCTGTGATTGGTCGAAAACCATGTTTGATTACAGTATCAAAACACGCTCGCGCGCGTCAAAAAKTTCTTTTTTCCCGCCGTTTGCATTTGTTGTTGTTATCATTCATTTTCAAGAACAATGAACGAAGAAATGCCTATTTATGATGTCCTCTGGGATGATATCCCAGAAGAAGAGCTATCAAAGCTACAGAAGCTGCAGAAGMTACTTCGAGATTTGCAGAGATAGACGACAGCCACATAGACAAAATTCTTGACAACTCAGTCGAAAAAACACAAAGCCAGAATTCTTTTAATTTTAGAAAAGAAATAAAAGACGAAATTCCGTGTTTGATTTAAGGAATAAAAGACGAAATTCCGTGTTTGATACTCTGATCAAAACACTTGGGATGTAGGGAGAGCACTCGAAAAGCTGGAARCCACTCCGCTACGAGTCGTGGTTTCCTACGCTTCTCTCGTGCTCTCCCTACATCCCGCGTGTTTTGATCAGAGTATCAAACACGGAATTTCGTCTTTTATTCCTTAACCAAAATATATTTTGAATATATTGATTACGTATGGAAACCCCGAGATTCTTTGCAGGCTCAAGACTGTGGACTGTGTCGTGGTGACGACAACGTTTTATGAAATAGGTGTAGTCATGTTCACGCAGAGAATCATGGAAACATAAAAYAAAATAAAATAATGCGTATTTAAATAAGCTAGTAGATTTTAGAAGTTTTGTGCATATCGAATCAAATTACAACACTGAAGGAATTACAGAAATATTATCATTTGGGTGACAACTTCATTGATTCAGTGATCAATGTATCCGTTAAAATCAATATTTTTGGAGAAGGGAGAGAGAAGAAAACATTAGCAKATTGGATATATTCATTGAACTTAACTTTTTTCCATACTGAGTTTTTCAATATGATATATTTAAAAATTAGATCTCTAGGGCAAGTGGATAATGAGCTGATAGAACAAGAATGAACTGTGAGTAGCCCACGAGGACGAGAGGTCTAAATATTTTTAGTATAAACATACTAATGGTCTATCACTCATACTGTGCTTTGATTGGCTACTCTACTAATGGTCTAATTYGTGATAGACCACTCGCGGGAAAAATCAAAATAAATAAATTATAAATTATTTTAAGGATATTTCAATTTGTTTTCATTATTTGACCGATTAGTATGTTTATACTAAAACAATTAGACCTCTCGGCCTCGTGGACTACGAGCTAATAGCCCATTCGGCCTCGCGGACTCGGCCTCATGGGCTATTATTAGCTCGTAGTCCACTCGACCTCGTGGTCTAATTGATAAATAAAGTATTTTCATACTAGTTAGAAATAAAAATCAATGAAAAATGTAAATAAAAAATTAGAAAAACAGAAAAACATAAAGAAAAAACGTTTTTTAGTGCATTCCACTCAAAATGATTTTTCTTCATACTTGTCGTCAAAAATGATTGGTCTTCCTGTGTCAAAGMCTTATTTACCATGTGACGTCATGTYGCTTATTATAGGATATCACTATTCAAAAGAACAAAACGAAAATATGAACAGAGGAGGGAAAAATAACGGGATTTATGCAGCCGAAACGATACTAAAACAGCGTACCAAAGAGGTAGGGAATACTTTTCGTCTATATTTTATTGTCTTTCAAATTTATAGTAATTAAGTAAGTCTACAACTCGTGTTTTTTTAGGGAAAAGTTTGGTACTTGATGAAATGGAAGGGGTAYTCRCCTCGGTAAGTTTACAAGCACAATTTAGTTTACAAGTCGAGTTTTAGTCGGTTAATCTTTCAAAGATATGTATATTTTTCTTATTTTYCTGATATTGTTTGAAGATATAATACTTGGGAGCCAGAGGAGAATGTTTTGGACGATAGATTATTGAAAGCTTATCGCAAACGACTTGCTGAAAGGTAAGATTCAAGTTAAGCTTAAGACTTAACAAGATAATATAATTTAATTTAAAAGTTAGTAGGCTTTTTGTTAAGTTATTGAAACTATGAGCATGCATAGGTCTAGCACATAAAATATATATATCTTTTATTTCTATAAGAAGTGAACTACACTTGTTTACTCCACGTTTTTCTTTGTATTAGTTAAGTAAGTAATTTACTTACTGTAATTATCACATAATGTCATATTTATTTATTTAATATTCTTGTAAAACGAATCTAACGGCATTATTTATCTACAACAGTCTTTAATAATTCAATGAGTAAGAGCTTTGTTTGTTTGTATATTTTTTCTTATCATGTTGATGGTGTATTTGTCAGTTATAAATAATTCAACACTGCAAGGCTATTAAAATCCTTTCTTGATCTCCAGCAGAAAAAATCCACATAATGTACTCGTTAACCAGGCACTCACATTATAGTGAGAAGATGTTTGTGATTTATCATAATACTTTTTTGTAGCAAAGGGAAGCTGAAAAGGAAAAAATCAAAGCACACAGAAGGAGAGGTAAGACAGAAAAATTGWTATAAGTCCATTGATTTGGCGCTTTATTTAAATAGAGTGGTTTTATKGTGACCTCTAGTTGTAAGACGAGGTTGCACCATATTCATAACAACTTACAGTAACTTGATGTTTCTGCCACCCATGCAAGGCCCTTTTCTTTTTGCTGACATATCAACTCCTCTTTATCACATATCAATTTAAGTCATTTTATAACTCAATAGACAATCAATAACTAGGCTTCGATCTAAAACAACAAAAGTTCCATCCCTTGTGTATAGAACTTTGAATTTCTCGACTGAAAAAAGATAAATTTTATTTTGCTTTGATAACTATTTTGACCTATGACCTTGCCAAATGGCTGACTTGCAAATTTCGCTTCAGTAGTCACACAAAAGAAACAAGGTCAGCGCCATGCATAATGCTCAGTYATTCGCTAAAAGACAAGAGTTTTTCACGACTGACTGGGCATATTATGAATGGTGTGTCTCTACTGGAAGGCAAAAWTCAAAAGTCAGCTATGGTATAAATCTACATGTTCTCTTAAAATATGTTRCTGAAAGCACAATATCCTTTCAATCATCATTATTCTAAAGTCAATGATCAACATTTCTAAATTGCACAAAATAGTACAATTTAGATGTTATTACCAATATAACAGACTAAGT